TGGGTCATCCTCCCACATTCTCTTGATTTCTTTGCCCCCAAAACCCCAAAACCCCTCAATCATTAAATAGTCATTTTTCTTATTTTATTAAAATATAAATCCTCTGAACTTCAATATAGCCAAGTTATTCGAATAATTATCATACTAAAATGGAAAAATCTAATCATGCTCAGGAACTAAGCAGAATGATTAAATAATTCACAGAGAAAGAAGAAGAGGGAGCAGCAGGCGGCAAGAATGTAGGCATTATCTTTTGAATTTAAATCATGTTTTAGGAATTAAGAGGTATTAGGAAATAACCACAAGAGAAGCTTAATATTAAACCTACTTTCAATGTTCTTAAATCTTTGTCAACAAATTTAGTAAGATAACTTTAATTAAATATTGAAAGCATGTCTCTAACGAAAAAGTTGTAAATGCGTATTAGTAAAATGAGGGTGACATTGAAAAAACAGTGAAAGAACTGCTAAGAACATTCTGATATGTACAAGAAATATTCTTAGAGATATAGAATTAGTGAATTAATTACAATAAACTTAAGAATTACTGAACTCACCACTTATTAAAACTAAAGAAATACTCAGGATCTTATCAACATTTAAACTAATTTTTGCAGTCCAGACAAGTGACGAAGTTAGTCATTGGCTCATCAGCGCCTCTAGTTTGCATCTGGAAGTAGGTAGTATTCTTTGACTTGCACTTTCTGCAAGTGAAGAAACCAACATTGCCCTTAGCAGCTGCGTTCTCCAAATGCCAATCAGTTCTTCTTGAATTCAAGTTATCCTTGATGATCTTATCTCTCTATTCCTTCAATTGGCTGCTTGCCATTTCTTTTGGGTCCATTGTTACTAGTTAAGTCGGGTTTAGTATACCTTGCATCAAACTCACTCTCAATTCTGGATTTCTTGAGTCTTTTAGATTAAAAACTAATGACCTAGCTTTATCTTAGTATTCCTTGATATTGGGAAATTTGTTAAAAAGTTCTTTCTCAATATTATTGCCCAAATGAGCAGCACAATCTAGCTGATCTTCATTATAGTTATCTTCATCAGGAGGCACCTGCATTAACTCAATAAATTTCTTGATCATTGCATCTCTGTAGCCAGTTCCTGTGTGGATCTTCAAGCCTAAAGGTATAAATAGCCCCTATCTAGCACTTCCATTGCCAGCTGAGCTATGATTACTATCAGTGACGATACCTTAGGCTTATGCTGGTTTTGGTTCAGGCTTTGACTCTGGCTTTTATTCAATCTTCTTATTCTTCTCCATTTTTGATACCTTCCTCCACCTTTCAATTAAACTCTCAGCTTGCTACCTTATGTTCTAAGCTTCATTATCGCTATCCTTGCCTTTTACCTCTATTTTCGTCAAACTTGAGATTGTTTTGCCAATTTTAGTGTTTTGAAGATGTTCAAGTGTAATCTACTTGTGGGTAAGAACTTTGAGTACAGATAGAATGCCATAGAAGTCTTCACTGTCCTTCTTTTTTTCCAAAGCTTTCTTAAGATCCAGCAATTCATCATCTGTGATCCTCTCTAATCTAACTTTCTCCATATTATCTGTTTGTTGATGCTTAATTTTTATTGATTCCATTTGTAATAATTATTTTAAGCTTCTATAAAATCTAAATTAATAATGATCTTAACGTAATCATATACTTAATCATCTAGATATTACTTCATTCGGGGTTTTGGGGTTTTGGGGTTTTGGGG